ACGTTGAACCCCGCTTGCATTCACTACATACACATAACATGACACGGATCAGATGATGGGGCACATGACCCTCTATGAACAATCAAGCCTATTGTTAGTCGATGGCCCTCTTTTGCGTATGACTGACCTGTTTGTCCACCATGGAGGCAGCGCTCATAAGGCTGAGTTCACCTGAAACTCATCAGATTGAAGAAGTCTCTTGGAGGAGAAACGAAACTTTTCACTAAAGAACCCATCCAGAGCACCTACTCGTTTTTTCTTTTTGATTTTAAAACTGATGGTCTTTCTCATCATGTCTATACAAGTTAAGTGCTTGATGTTCCCAATAGCCTCTGCATGAAGTTATAACCTTTTATTTTGTCTTCTGCTTATTTTGTTTCTGCTTATTTTATGCCTGTTACTCACCCTCTCTCCTCATGTTCATTACTGTTTTTGATTGTATATTATTTTGTAAATAAAGTTTATTAAAATAAAACCTTGAAGTCAAATATTTTTACATTTAAAACAGGATTTTTTTTAAATAAAAAAATCTTCTGGGGGAGAAAAGTTTTTGGTGGTTGTGAAAGGCAGTGAGGGGAGTTTTAAATAGATTTTTTTATTATTTAGTCATAAAGAAAAATGCTCAACTTACAGAAATAAACATATTCACATCACTTAGCTGAAACAAACAAGCCTAGACAAAAGAACTATTTTGACTTATTGTATGTAGTTTAAGAAATTTTACTTCGCATCCAGGTTTTTTAATTCAGAAAGTGGAATTTAAAATGCTCTGGAAACATGCATGAAAGTGTGGATTTGAGTAAAACTGACAGAGGATAAGACTTAATGCTGTGTAGTGGGTTTAGAAAGCTGAAATCTGAGACGTCCTCCTCTGTTTAACTTTRTCTTGTTAGAGGCAATTTGCTCCTTTTAGCCTACTCTCAACCCATCAGTCTTCTCTGTCCCTAAGTTTACGTTAGGTTTATTTATGAGACTTATGTCATCCCGTCTCCAATCTGAAGCACCTGGTTGTTATAGAAACCCCTGTTACCAGCCGGGGTCACGGGGCTGCAGAGCACACACAGGTGGGCTTTGGCCAGGTCTCGCTCAGGTCTGTTGTCAGGCTGCCTCGCAGTAATTCAGTGCCACACACATGTTCACGGGTCGGCCATCTTTATTCAAGTTTAGAGAGAAGATACATTCGGCAAGAGGCACCGTGTGAATTTAGCCCTTCAGTGGTGCCTCAAGACATAGTTTGGTTTATTAAAAAAAACACAAAACATACAAATAAAACATTACACAGAAGAGTAGAGCTTTAAACCTTTTGATGAAGAATACAGGGAAACGATTCAATACAAAAACATCACTAGATTCAGAACTCATTTACTAAATAAACTCTCCTTTTCAAAGTTAGCTACTGCTATATTTCTATTTACCACAGAGTGACCGTAAAATACAAGCTGAATGAATAAACTGTGAAAAAACGTGCAAGAGTTTAATACATGGCTGTTATATCTTTACAGGTCATAACTTTAGTAGCGCTCTTAAAGGCCCTGTCACTCTAGACAATTTATCCCAACTTATGAACATTTTAAAGACATCTAAGATGGAATTGGAAAAATGACCAGGAAGCTTCTTTTTGGCGCGTATATAATGTAATTCTAACAAATTGATCAAACATGTAACTTTTATTAACAATTTAGACATAAAAAAGGTTTCATAAATTAGCATAAACTGTCTATGTGACAGGGCCTTAAGGGATGCTTTTAGTTTGTTTGTTCGTTTGAAAGAAATAAATTGAAACCTTACAAAGTTGAGAAAAAAATGATCCATTTAAATTAAAGAGTCATGAAATTTAAGTCAATAATGCAGGTTGAACTCCACAAAAATACAATTATAGTAATCCTAATTATAATTTAGCTAATATGGAATAACAAAAAAATGTTATTTTAATTAGATCCTATAATTAGATGAAGATTTATTTTATTTTGTTTTTTGTTTTTGGTTTGTTTCTGAGTTTCAACATTATAATTATTTTAAAAATTGGAGGCAAAATCCAAATTTCAAGAAGCAAATGTTACAAACATGTCAAAATATTCCAAAAAGAAAAGTCAGCAGAACTCACAGAACTTCCCTCGGTTCTTCAAAATAAAAGCCTCAAACAAATAAAATGCTGTAGGTCTCTATTTTGCCTTCAGGTTGTGTATAGATGTTTGTGCTCCAAAAACGTTTTTATAATAAAAAATTTAATCACTATTTACACAAATCATTCGACCGCTGTACCTTTTTGTACCGAGGATTTTTGTTTCATATCAAAATAACTTTGTTTTCCATTTGGACTTTATTCTGAAAATAGCATTTTGACTTTAATCTCAAAACTTAGAAACAAGCAAAATAATTATTTCTCAATATAAATATATCTGTTTTTTCCATCTGAGTGACCTATTGTATGGTCCGATTCATGTGATTGTAAATGGACCAGGCCAGATTTGTCCTGCAACAATAAATGTAATATAAGATGCTACATGTGTACTTTTTTTATTCTTCAAAATACAAAAGACATTAGTCATAACAGCTTGTTAAAGTGTCAAATCCGATGAATAAAATAAAAACATTACTTTATAGAAAATGCTATAACATTGACAATAACTGGAGCTTGTAAAAAGCTGAAATTGGGCTAAATGTGGAGATGTTTGGCTGATAAATGAAAGATTAATATACAGGCTGTAATGATTTTTTTTTTTTTGTTACCAGCTAAATAAATGAATAAATGAACGAGTCAGCTACAAAATGTGCACCGGATTAGATTTCTGCAGCTATAGAGTTTGAATTTTTCATGTTTGTTTTGGTCAAAATCTGACTTACAAACTAACTTATTCATTTGTGTCGTCTGAGATTAATCAAAAAGTGCAAAGTTAAAAGATTTTCTTTTTTAATAAACAGGCTTTTTTTTATTGGCTTCAAAAGTGTGGTCCCTGATTTGTCTGGTCTTGTAAAAGTGGAACCTCTTACATTTTATTTAAATGTTCCCCTAAATGATTATAACCATAAATAAGATGTAAACCATAAGAAACATAGTGGTCACCCTGTAAGAGCCCTTTATATACAGACAGTATTTGATTCTTTTGGCTCTCTTTGGAATACGATACGTGATAAATGCCTCTCAGAGTTTCATCTTTTCCAAAAGTCCCCAAAGAAATGACAGATTTCTTTAAGTCTTCACTTCACCCTGCAGCCATTGCTCTAATTAATGAATTACTCAACAGAAACTGCAGCTTTAGATGTTTTGTGTATTCGAAACAGAACAAAGTAAGAAACTCGTTCACGCACGTGTCGGCTCATTCAAACCACTGATGTTGAACTTGTGCTTTTCCTCACAATAAACCTTTAGGACCTGGGTTTACACCATCACCCAGCTGGGTCTCAGTGGTCCACCTGAACACTGAACGTGGACACACGGCTCCGCCTCCTGCTCTGAGTCGGACTCAGCCGTCAGCAGGACCTGAGGAGAGTTTCTCTGATTGGTATTCATATATAGAAGAACCACCAACTACAGACACTCGTTTTTAGTTATTCTTAAAAAAATAAAATAAAAGTCAGGTTTCTCACCCGTGACTCCTCGCTACTTCCCCTCGGCACAGAGTTGGGCTTCTTCACMGCGCCGTCACACGTGTCATCCAGGCTCTTCATCGTGTTGTACTTCCTCATCGTCAGGCTGTCCACCACCCAGAACATAATGGACTGCAGAGCAGGGCTCGGGTTATTTACTGGAAGCGTTCACACGACACCCCTGATCCTGACAGACTTACGTTCACTATGAAGGGGACGATGAGCATGACCAGCGCCAGCTCCAGCTGAGGGTTAGCGATGTAGCTTAGCAACACTTCCTGCAGCTGAAAGACAGAATCACCAAGAGGACGTCACACTATCTCTGTTCAGTTTTATTTACCAGCATATCTTTTTATTATGTTATATGGAGATATTTTTGGATAAGCTACTTTAACAAGCACATTATTTGAAAAAAAAATATTTGAAAAAAAAAGCCAGATACTTGCACTGAAAATAAAAACTTAAAGTTCTTACTTTGGACCATCCAGGGATGAGCAGCACCAGGCTGATTATGCCTTTCTCCAGCACCATGATGAGCAGGTAAACACCACACTGCCCCAGCCATGCTGCAGCCTGAGGGGGGTCACCTGGCAGCAAAACCAGATACAAGAACAACATTTATTTTGTTAATCCGCAGACCGAACGCAACTCATTTATGCTGTTCCCTTCAAATATAAACGCTGTAATCAGATCCACAGCTTGTTTTAATAAAAACGTTCCTTCACACAGTGAAGTCATGCAAAGAGGAGAGAACGGGAATTAAGAACTGACAAGAWGTGAAGCCACTGGGACTTGTTTTTTCTCCTAACAGCTGGTTGGAGTTAGAGCGCCCTCTAGTGGCAGGAATCAAACACACACCTCCCAATTTCTTCTCCACAGGCAGAGAAAGAAGAAAAAAAATCTAAAATACAGCAGATGTGCAATAAAATGAAAGTCATTTCGTAAAAATTCTTGAACTGTTTGCGGTCTGGAGAGATTTGAGTGAAAAGGTCCTGGACCTTTTTCTGTAAAACATGAATAAATTAAAAAAAATGCATCAGGACATGAATAAATAAAATTTAAAAAAAAAATGTATAAATCCTAAGTCCTGAATGATCTTTCTGAAATTTGCTGATGAAGCTAAAATTGAGTTGCATAAAAAAACAAGGGTAATCTAGATTTTAAAATGGAAGAGTAAAAGGCTATTCTAAAAGTAGTAAAACAGTAGCCAGAACTAAATAGAATAAAATGGTTAGCTACAAGCTAACTTAGCAAACAGCTAAATGG